AATCGAGTAAAAGTCAAATTCGGCAAAGATCCTTAAACCTTAAACGCATTGTAACTTCCAACCCAAATTCAATCATAACTTTTAAAAATACATTTAATTAATGTGTGCATTTGATCTTTATCAGTTTTATAGTAATTTCCTGATTCTTAAAAATGCTCATGGATAATGTATAAAATAGAGTAAAAAATGAAATGCAAAGATCATAATTAAAACCCACTGCGACTTCAATCCAAATTCAATCATAACTTTACACAACTTTCAACCGTGGAAAAAATAAAACTTTTCACGTCCTAAAATTGGCAATGTTTGTTTTCCTTCTTTCTCCCACGATTGTATATATCTCGGAAATAGCCGAAGGCAATTACTATATTACTGTCATGGACTCTAGCAAGCTGTCAAAGGTCACAACAGCAATTGCATCCACAAGATTGATAGAGACTATCAAAGGATTAAGGTTGATAGTAAGTGTGTTCCTGTTTGGTTTTATAGTGAGAAATAATTAATTACTTTTTAAGGTTAAATTATTTGTATTTTATTTTTAATTCTTAAATTATGATTTTAATTATATAATTTTGATTTTCCAATTTTATAAATTTATAATATTTGTTTAATTGTCAAATCTTTGTACAGTATGTTCTTGTTTAAATTAATTCATAAAAATTGTTCATATAGAAAGTAAAAAATAATAATAATGATATTGCATGTTGTTAAGTTTTTGCATGCATGTGATATAACAATTATCAGTTTAAAAAATTATGTATCCGTATACATTACAAGAAAATTATCATATAATAACACATATTCTATAATGACACGATATGTATTACTAAAAATTACTTTTACCTACACAATAAATATAATATATGTTAGTATATTGTTATAAAGTGTGAGTATATGATATAATGACACATAAAATATGTTGTTAAATCTTGTTTAAAATCAACACTAAAATTATATGTAGCTATATGTCAAATAGATATATACCTACATATATTGTATCTATAGTGACACTTTTTGTATGTCACTATATGTAACATTTCTTATATTATAAGTGTGCAAATTTAAGGTTTGATCAAATGTACCTTAAAGGAATGTTGATAAAATTATGATGGAATTAATTTTGTAAAATTTATTTTGGTTAAAATTGATTTTGCTGTAATATGATCTATGTTTAAATGTTTTAATTATAAAAATTAGTGATAGAACTAATATAAAATTTTGATCCAACATAAAATTACCTAAAAAATTGTTTTAAATCACAATTAATTTTAAATTAATAATAAAATTAAACATGAAAAGATTTATCTAAAATTACATCGATCAACCTTTTCAGGTAATTCTAAAGAATTCAGTATGAAACTAAATATCCACTTAGTTTCTCTTGCTGAATCAGTAGTTCTTCGGCATGTCAAACAATTTTTATATAAAAAAAATTGATATTAAATTAAAGAAAAAATTTAAACGCAGTCTGAGGAATACTAATGGTATTATGTTTTAATTAGAATCAAGATTTTATCTAAACTATTCACATAACAAAAATGTATATTAAATATTAATACAGATTACTAAATAAAGTTTTATTTATGTTTGGAGAACAAAATCAATAATACACACAAAATTACATGTAAATTTTGCCCTCCAATAAATTTTATTCAAATTTTAAATAAATATAGATACCAAACTATTTGAAATGGTTGAAGGAAAAGTATGTTTAAAAACAACATTTTTTTAATAAACTAAAATATCTCGGTAAGAATTAATAACTAATCTACTAACATATATAACCACGTGAAGTGGACTTCTTATTACAAATATTTTATTTAAAAAACCTTATTTATTATAACTGATGAATGCAAGCTTATATTTATGCTTTCAAATAGATAAACAACGAAGCAAAAAGTGAATGTTAGATTGAAGTTGAATCAGACACTAATTATACTAATCTCACAAATTCAATCAATATTGTCTTGTTTATGTGTGTGCATACATACTTATCAGTTTTGTCCGGGTTTACGGGGATTGAAACAATATAAATTTGATAAATTAACCAGACTTGTCCAGGCTCGTCATAACTCATAAGGAACATCGAAAAGTGTTCATAGTCGTAGGAACATATATAGCTGCAAAGTTTGTCTGGAGAAAGTTCATGGGTGTAAAGTTTTGAAAAGTCAGATCTAAGAAAGCTATGCTATGTATGTCCATGCCTTGCCTGCTTCGTGGAACACTGTGGTTGAAGGACAGACAGAGAAGAAATTATCATCATGCCATGCATGCACAGTGTGCAGGGTCGCTTATCCAACTTCTAGTGTAACTTTACCATTGCCCTACCTATCACGGTAATTGCCTCTAAACTTTAGGAAAAAATAAAAGAGCAGTCACTAATGTCTAATGGGACATAACCACTTTGCGTTGTTTTATTTGTTTGTTTATTTTACTTTTATTTTGTTACGCCACGTTACATTACCTAATTACCAGCTAGCAGACAAATATAAAATACAAAAAAGTGAGAATTGTTCAACTCTGTTTCAGATTTTTTTAAAGATTATTTTATCATTTGAAATTTGTATTTATTTCATTTGATAACGAATTAGTAATCTCGTACAACCACCAAAAACAAGAATGATTTTTTCCACATAAATTTTATTTAGGATAAGTTTGTATCAAAATTATGCATTTATCTTGTTTCTTAGCATAAACTTCAATAATGATATCCATTTATTTAATATTTATGAGAAAATCTAATACAAGTTTTTAATATGATCTTGAGATATATACATTTTGTATGTAAAATAATTAATTCCATTTTATAAATATCTAAAAATTGATAGAATAAATTTTATTTAATATTTATAAAAATAAATAAATACTAGATTTCAGATTAATATATGTAAATATAAAAAAAATTATTCAAATAATGTTATTTATATTAAATCATTCCTATGGAAGAAATGTAGACAATTCGTTATATATTTATTGTGGCATCCATATTTTTGTCATTAGGGAAGAAAAAAATATACATTTAGAAGGTAAAAATTATAATTATTAACTTGTTAAAATCACATTCAATGAAAAATTACGTTAAAAACATAAAATATTGAACTAATAAACAGGGTTTTGCATTGACTTGATTAATCACTTTCACAATATATATGAAATTAAAGAAGAGTTCGGTCCTAAAATGTTCAGCATTGTAAATAATTTATTCTTCACCTAAAAGTTGCATAGTGTGCAATTTACTACATAAAAGACTTTCTGTAATTTATTTTCATTTACTAAATACTGTATATTTTCATTTATCTGATATAATAAAAAATTATATACATATTATATTATTAATAATATAATTAATTAAATAAGTTTATAATATAAAATATCAAATTATCAATATTTTTTTAATATTTTTTTATATTTAAACATTTTATATTGTTAATAAAAATTCAAAAAATAAAAAATAGTAAATTTAGCAGTTATATATCTCATTGTCAATTATTTTATTTCTTTCATCTTTATGGTTAGTTCTTTAAAAAGTTTTTACTTATTTTTATAAAATTATCTTATTTTAATATGGTATGCATGGCTGTATGTTGGTGTACATGGATGTACATGAATTATCTATCTTATATTAATTTTTTATTTTCAATTTAAACTTTAAATTTTAATAATAATTAAGTAAATTATTTTTTATCTAACAAATTTAAAAAAATCCAGACCCATATTTTAAAGTAAATTTGTTGACTTATTTTAAATAAAATTTATTAATTTATTTAACATTATTAATATAAAATACACTTTTGAATAGACTAATAAATCATATCATACCTTTAAAATGATTACGTCATACTTATGAAAAATTTATAATAAATAATAAATTAGATTTAAATTTTAATTTTATTAAACAAACTTGACTTATATATTAGTTCAGTTTAGTGTATCATAATATATTCTCATCCTTACTGACGATGTCATAGGAGAACTTATCGAACATAAATGAATAAATATTTTGATAAATAAAATATATTAAATAAAAAATAAGAATAAAAGGATGAAATTATTTATAAGTGTTTAGAAAACATATGTAAAAAAAAATTAAATTTATGCTATTCAATATTTAATACATTGAAAAGTGGATTAAATATTTTTTTTATATACTTTTAATATATAAATAATTGATATAAAACACTTTCTACCAGTAAATTTTAATCAATAAAATTAGGAATTTTTGTAATTATTTTTAAGGAACAGTAAACAGTATACTTTCATTATTTTTTTATTTTTGGTAATTGAAGAAAAATAAAATAAAACAATATAGGTTTCGTGCACCTAATTTTATTTTTTTATTTTTTAATTTTTCTAGTATACTTTCATTGTTTGATTGAATAATAAAATAAAAAAAATAATAGAAAAGAGATATAAACAAATAGACAAACACTGTATATTGTTTGCGTCAATATAAAAGAAAGAAGTTAAACAGTTTATATATATATATATATATTTTTTTTGAATATAATGAAGAAAGAAGTTGAAAAGGTTTCTAAAAATATATGACGTATATCAATTATATATATATATATATATATATTACTGAAAAAAAATTATCTCATTCACAAAAATGATCTCTTCTGAAGATTTGAGAGACATTACTTTTTCAGTTTAAATTTTTTTGGATTTAAAAAAATTAGAATTTAAATTCTAACCATTTTATTAAGTCACATGAAAAAATAATATATCCTCTAAAATGTTTTATATATTAAAAAATAAATATTCTTTTTTCTTTTACTTTACTGATAGCTATTTTTTAAATTATGTTGTTGAGTTAAATAACATAATTTTATAGTCTTATTTCTTAAATTCTGTAAGAAACTGTTATACTCATAAAATAAATTAAAAAAATATTAATAAAAATATTAAGAAGTAGCCCAATAGTCAACAATCTATGTCAAAAATATAAATAAAGAGCCAGGGTAAGGGCAAGTTCCGAGTCAGAACTAACACTTGCTTCTCCCATTGCATATGCTATAGTTTCACCCTCTCACATTCTAAAATTCTTGCTTCAGTGAGAACTAATCATGGAAGATGCACTGCGCCGTCTCAACGGAATGACCCCCATTCAAGAACCCGACGCCGTCGCCGACCACCCGCACCCCAAGAAGTCCGCCGCCAAGCGCACTGTGCGCGAGGCTCCCACCTCCGGCACTGCCATGCGCTACCGCGGCGTCCGACGCCGCCCCTGGGGCCGCTACGCCGCCGAGATTCGCGACCCGCAGTCGAAGGAGCGCCGCTGGCTGGGCACCTTCGACACGGCAGAGGAGGCCGCCTGCGCCTACGACTGCGCCGCCCGTGCCATGCGCGGCGTCAAGGCCCGCACCAACTTCGTGTACCCCGACGCTCCAGACCCTCACCTCTTCCAACCCTACAATGTTCCTAAGCACTGCCACGTCACCAGGTTCGTCCCGAACCACAGCCTCGGAGGTGCCGACTTCTCATCATCATCATCCTCCACTCATCACAATCACAACCCTTCTTCTCTCAACATGCTTCTCTTTCGTGACTTCCTCAACTCTTCTTCTTCTCAGCATTTTCATAGTAAGACTGCGCTTGCGCCTGCTAGTAGCTATGTAAACTCTTCTTCGTTACCTTCTCCAACGGGTAACTATGCTAATAACATTGCTGGTAACTCCGGTGTTGTTAGCTTCAATCACGCAACAGAAGTTGCTGAGTCTATTGATGAAGACTTGGGGTTGGGTTTTTTCCCGCGAGAGTCTTCTGATTCTGGGTTATTGGAAGAGATAGTCCATAAGTTCTTGCCAAAAACCAAGCCCAATAAGACTGGTGAAACTTCGCTGAGACATGAGACTTTGTCCATTTCTGAACCATTTCCTCAAACTGTGTCTGATTACGTGGCTGTTTCTGCTACTAAGGGTTATGGTGATGCCAAAATGAGGTTTCCTAAAATCGATGGTTTTGGTGTGTCTTATGATTCTCCCATGCAGCAATTTGATACCCTTAATGGGTTTAACCCCGTGCAGGGTGTGACTATTGAGAGAGACAACAACAGCAACAACTACCAGTATATGATGAATCATTTCCCAGGATGTTCCAACTTGGAAGACATTCTTCAGTATCCAGAACTTTTTAATTCCTTTGCAGCCAGGATGCAGAATGCTTAATTTATGTCTTGTGTGTAGTTGAATTAGCTTTAGGAGAGATAAAAAAAAGTAAAACGTATCATGCATGGATGGTTTAAGGTTCTTTTGTTTTTAATTTATGTTAATTTAGATCTTTAGCTTGCGTTAATTTGGTCTCTTTCGATGACTTGGAATGTTGTTCTTAGGGTTTTATGATTGGTAGGAGGTTTAACTAGGTTTATGTGTTCAAACTCTGTATTATGGCCCCTACTATGGGTTGGTAAGTAATTGAAATTATCGATAATACTGAAATTGTTGACGGTGCTCTGTAATCTGTTTAAGCACGAGGGTTACACTTTTCAGTATTTATTTTTTATTTTATTTTTTTGTTTTATGCCTGCTTTAATTTATGATACCGGGAAGGGTTTCGTGAGAACGACATACTCGGAGTAAAGTGAATTTCTTGTTTTCAATTGCACGATAATGATAGCTTCTGCGTTGACCTTGGAACTAGTAAAGTTTACGACTGTTGTGGCACACTTTTTTTTGTTTTTTTGTTTTTTTTTTCTTCCCTCTCTTTCTGCATTGTGTCTGTTTATTCTTTGTTTTGTTGGGAGAACATCCATGTCTGGATTGAGTAATGCCGCGTTGTGCTGTCGTTTTCATCTAGGTTTTTGCTGGGAGGGGTAGGAATATTGGGACTGTGATAAGGTATTTTAAATTAAAGTTAAGATAGGGAAAAACCCTAGCGAAAATGGTATTGAAGAATGGAGTCTTTTAGGAGAAAGTGTAGCACTAAAGCTGCTCATAGATCGAAAGCAAAAAAGGCAAGGTTCCAGGGTGAGGATATTCAGTAACACGACAGAACATAATGGAGGTTTTGGAAGACCCCATAAATATATCCACTTTGGTTGCATATTCATATTCATGAAATTTCTATCATGTTAAAGTCCAGAAAGTAAATATTGAAAAGTTATTGCAAATACTGACCAATGCCGTTAGGATGATAATTAATTTAATAATAGAAAGTTTCAATAATTGTTTTGAAATAATTAAAAGCAATTATGATTATAAGGGGCACTATAGGTACACATAACATCCTATTGTTATTCTCTTACCTTCGGTTGTTAACTAGAGACTACCAGTATTCATCATATTTTTTTTTGAACGGCTAAGAAAATTTTCATTAAAAAGGTACCAGTGGTACCAAAAGAGAAATAAAATAGTATACAACATAACCAAACATACCAGTCTCGTGAAAGGAATAATTATGTCAAGGAAACTACATACCAAACATGTAGATTATTTTAGTGAATATACCTAGACATGCATAAACCAGGATTATAGCACCATTGTGAAAAAGTATACCGGAATGTCTTTGCAAATGATGACAGCCACCTCCAACTGTAAACCTGAATCTCGTTCACCAATCTTTCAAAAGAGAAGCTATTATCATTGAACCTGTAACGATTCCTTGTCCTCCACACTGTCCAAGTAGTTGCCAACCATATGGAACGCCAATATACAACCTGTTCGTAGTGTTGAATTGGTCCAGGAATGAAGTTGAAATGATCCAAAATGTTGCTAGGTACGGGGGCAGGACAGCTAATCCAATTGAGACAAACTTTCCATACCTTGTCCACCACCGGGCAGGTACAGAACAAATGATAATCAGATTCAATATCCTTCTTACAAAATACACATAATGCATCATTATCTGAGAGTAAAGTATGCGTTTTTAATTTGTATTAATTGATTATATATTCTACAGTTATTTGTGTTAAAACAGCAGTTACTTATGTTGTGATAATATTCATTGATATATTTAATAAATTATAAATTTATTAAAATTTTAATACCTAATTATTAATGTATTCTTAAGTGTATTTTTTCATTTCAGTAAGTCTTTTATAGGCTGTAATGCTGTATATTAAATAACGCCAAATGTAGTGTTAATTTATTTGCTTCTAATTTTATAATCTTACTCAAAACATGCAACTCTGTAAAGAATTTATTTATCCGGCTAATTAATGATTTAATGTGGATGGTTTTTTTAATTAAATCTCTAAAATGAATTTGAAATGGAGTGGATCTGGATTCCAGCTGTTCATTTTGAATTGCATGGCACGCAGTTGGAACTTGACCGGTGATTGACAATGTGTTTAGAAATTATGAGTTACATAAAATTTTATATTTAATGTTTAAAGATTTGCTTGATATCGAGGTTTGTTTTCTTGTTAAAGTAAAGGTTTGTGCTGACAACTAATTGAAGATAATTTTAAATAAGTTTTTAACACTTATCATAAAATTTATAAGAACTTTTATATATGACAAACTGTTATTAAACAACTACAAAATCATTAAAATTTTATAATAAAATTTAACAACTTATTATTATTTTTATCCATTTTAATTAAGCATCTTACGATATCAATGAAACAATGACTATTTTTAATTATATAAATTATTTATTGTAGAGTTAGAAAATAAAAATTATAAATTAGAGAGAATTTAATCGACATAATAGATAAAATACATTTCAAGAAATTGTATAATATTTTTTTAAAAAAATATCTAAAACATTAACAACATTTGTAAATTTCTATGCTGAAATTTTAAAATCAGACACAAAATGAGATAGATTGCAAGATAAGGAAAAGCAGTTAAAAATTCAATCTCAGGACAGGAGATCTTGGCATCTTGCTCCTTTCGGAACAGGTAGGGAAAAAGATTATAATTTTTTTTATTACTGAAAAAATATTATAATTATGAAGATGAAATTGTATTATTATTATTATTATTGATGGAATTGGAATTGCATTATTGTATACTTAATGGCAATACGGATTAAATAAGTGAAACCAACGGCTTTGCCGGCATAGGACCAATAAATACAGTTGTAAAGTTATAATTCATTAAAAGAAAATGAATAGGGTAACAGATCATAATTGTTTGCTTTCATGAACGAGTTACGTCGGTTCTTAGACACTAATTAGTAAATAATAAAAATACTTGATACATTAACAATGTAAAAAGAAAATAATTATTAATAATGCAAAATTCATAAAACTCACAAAGCCTTTGAGACCTGTCATTTCGTGAAGAGTACAATTATATATGGGTTAAAAGGTCGAGTTCGTTAAGGTTTGGATCATAGGCCTAACAGTAATAGTCCAAACAAAAAAAATTGAATGTAGAGAATGTTTCAGGAAAAACTTCATAGATTTAATAGAACATAGACTTATGATGTATAAACCTTTATTCTATGATAAATACACCCTTATTTTTAAAAAATAATTTAAAATATATTTAATTTTTTATTTTAGATATCTAATATTCAATTTAGTATTTTCTTTTTAATTTTTATATACATTTTTCTCTTTCTTTATTTGACACATAATATATATATATATATATCTTAAATATATCTCCTTTTTTCTTAATAAAAATAAATTCTTAAAATACCATGAACATAAAAAATAAGGAAAAAAATTATAAATTAAACAATAAAGGAGTAAAATTAAAAAAAATATAGGATAAAAAATTAAAGATATTTTAAAAATAAAAAAGGAGGTGTACTTATAATAAAAAGGTGGTGTATATATAATATAATGGAACAATTTTTCGGCTGAGAAGCACATACTAATTTTTCTACATACAAAGATTTTTTTTTTAAAGTATGAAGATTCAATTTTTTTTTGGGTACGCAAAGTTCATCCAGTGGTTGGGTGGGGAGGGGTTCGGGTAGTTAGAAACATGAGGATCTAGGTTCAATCTTCATTACGACCATCTTTATAATCTTTCCTATCTTTACAAAAAAAAAATCTAACAGCCAAGAAACAATTTGTACTTTTGTTGGGGTCACTCGAAACCTGTATGACTCGAAAATAATGTTTGAACTTGCTCGAAAAACATCTTATAATGGCGATACCACTTACCTGTAAGGCTTAAGGTCGAAAAATAGAATAGTGCAGATTAAACAAAGACGTACTTGGATAGTGAGATGGTTATGCTAAAAGGTGGTCGAAGAGGAAGAACTCACGGAAAAACGGTTATGAGAAGTTATCTTTTGAACCTCGCGGAAGAACGGTTATGAGAAGTTATCTTTTGAACCCACGTAGGTAGTGGATAGCGGTTATACTCACCCACAACGTTCCTCATGAAACTTACTGCTCATGATTAAACTCTATAAATATGAGAGTCGTACGCCTTCACGGAGGTCGGAAAAACTCATACTTGAACTGAATTCTCAAGCACTCTCTGCCTGCACACATGGCTTCCATGCGAGGAATTATCTTTGGGTATGATCACTTCTCGACCACATTTCTTTTCTTGTTCTAGGAGTAGTTGTAGTGTAGGTTTCTTCCTTTATTTTTTCCTAATCACATAGTTGTAGTGCGTTAATTGTAACTCTTGGACAGTATGTAATTTGAACCATGTTTTGTATTGCGAATATATCCATTATTCATTCTGTTCATTTTAGCATTTACGTGCATGCGAATTATTACTTGTTAATTATCGAGGAATATCTAGAAACAAGTAATCACTAAATCTGCCTACTCCATTTTCTGTTCTTAAATTAAATACCTAAATTGAAACCATTTATGTGCTAGTTCGAATATAAAGGGTCCACGAACGGATTTCACCATAAACAAATTGGCACTCCCGGTGGGACTTGTTTAAGTCAAACATAATTGGACTAGTTTTAGGTATGTGTGTTGCATGAGACTCAGGAGTGGAAGAACTATGTCTACATCTAATAATCAGAGAGATACCAACACGAACAATAATAATCACGTAGATGTAGAGCACCCTGATAATGTGACTAATGTGACCAGGGGGGCAGCATCTTCCCCTGTGTTGCTCGAAAATACAACTAGGCAAACAAATGTTACTCAGGAACTAGCAAATGTCACTAGGGAATACCCCTAGGGTATGCCACAGAATTGGCGAAATACCCAACCAGTGCATGCCGAAATGCTAGTGCCTTTCTTAGGACCAAATTCACAAATGCACGTATCTCCACAGGGATATAATCCTGGACCAAATGGCATGGGTTTCGTTATGCAAGACCCATATCAACACGTAGGAACAAGTCAGGAAGGTTCTCTGATTCAACCAGGTAGTTACGTACCTACGGGTATTAGCAACCAAGCTATGATGGCTCTTCGACAACAGATGGACCATAGTAATCATGACATAGTCAACCTGTTGTCAACCCAAATGCATAACATAATGACTCCTTTGTACGAGTTAATAAACAAAATAGGGGATAAATTGGGTGACTGGCCACCTTTGAGAGCCATGAGTGCGAACCTG